CCAAGAGGACCCAGCCAGACCCCACAGAACCCCACCAGACCCCAGCAGACCCAAGCAGAGCCCAGCAGAACCCAACAGAACCCAACAGAACCTAGCAGAGCCCAGCAGAACCCAGCAGAACCCAGCAGAACCTAGCAGAACCCAGCAGAACCTAGCAGAGCCCAGCAGAACCCAACAGAGCCCAGCATTTAATAAGACAGCTTCAGATCCAATTATACCACGGCTGAACGATTAATCGAATAATCGTGATTAATCAATTATTGAAAAGCTGTTTATATCAAATATGACTAAAACAATGGATTTTGTAATTAACGCCTTCAAATTGGGTCTCTGTCCCTTTAAGAAACTCCTGCTGCTTTGATGGCTGCTTTGCTGCAAATGATCAAACGTTCACTACTTACATTTTAGGCAATAAAATATTTATTTTCTTTCTTAAAAAACAAATTAATTTGTTTGTTTGCATTTTTTTAGTGTATGTCTAATATTGAATAAACGGAGACTAGTAGTACTAATAGTTATTTTCACTACTAGATTTAAAAATATTATTATTGTTGTTATTATTATTATTATTGAAACAGTGCAATAAATACAGAGTTACACTAAGTTGTGGAATAAATACTATCAAACATTTAAGTAAAACAAAAATCATGAGATTTGAACAAATTACATTTTAAACCAATAAGTTATTTATTAGAAGTGTAACTCTGCTCGTTGGAGTGGAGGCAGTGAGACCGGATCAGCTCTGATCCGGTTTCTCAGGTTTTTCCTGTTGGCTGAGAGTCTCAAGGTCACATGACCTCCTGCCGTGCCAGCCCCACCTGGACAGGTACCAGCTCTGACAGCTTCAGGACTCAGTGGGAACATTTACCTCAAACTGCTGCAGGCTCCTCCTGCTAAAGGGGAGTTTTTCCTCTCCACTGTCGCTACGCGCATGCTAACAATGAAGGATTACTGTAAAGTTAATGACTCGACGCTAACTGTCGCTACGTCAGGAAGAGTGAATGCAGTAAAAGTCAGTGACTCAAAGCAAGCTGCTGAGTTTACTTAGATAGGAAACTTTTAAAACTAATATAAATAATTTGAACTGAATTGAATGTTTTGACTCTTTCAGATTTCAGTCTGGAGAACAGAAGTAGGAAGATGTCATTTCCTGACTGTAAGTCGTGTTCCTGTTGAATGTGTTGAAGTTTTGGCAGCAAGAACAGGAAGTAAAAGGATAAAAATCAAGTGCAAAAGATGATTTAGGTATCAGAAGAGATGCCTGATTTGACACTAATCAGCCAACTAGCTCAGAGGCTAACAGCGCTCTGCTTCAGGACGGGATGTTTTCAGGAGACCTGACTGTCTTATCAGGTCCTGATCGATTGCAGAACAAACAGTTGGACAGTCCCAGCTCACCTCCTCGGTTCAGGTACAGGCCGCCCATGTTCCTGTCCTCCTTGATGGCCTTGTTCAGAAGCAGGAGCGCCTCGTCGTAGAGGCCTCTGCTGAAGCACTGGACAGCAAAGTCGTTGAAGGTGAGAGCCAGCTGGAGCTGCACCTCCTTCAGGACGGAGCTGCTCTCCTTCCTCTCCTCCTCCTTCGGCTCGCAGAGCTCAGCAGCCTGGACCAGATCCTCGATGGCCGAGATAAACTCCTTCAGACGTCGGTACAGAGTCCCTCTGGAGGGAGACAAACTGATTCAAACACAGACTAAAGATGTTTTCACACCCTGGTCTGTGTGACTAAGGCCACAATGTCGACTCGGTTTGACTGTAAACCGAGTCGACAGTCAAACCCAGTAGACTCGGTTCAACTGGAGATTAAAACAGCAACATTTGTTCCAGCTCCAGCTGCTGTGGTTCTTTTTCTTACTGCACTGAGTCAAACCCAACAAACCCTTTGAAAAACCTGTTCCCCTCCTCACCTGTGGGGGCGCTGTACCAAGAACCACTGAAGGAAACAGCACAAAAACCTCTGAAGACACTGAGAGCAACTTCCTCCTTTAGCAGTGGGAGGATTTCCGTTCTGTCTGTTAGTGCTCATTTGTTTTGGTTGTTTACCCAGAATGCCTTGCCCTGTAATCCATTTCCTGCATTCAAACTGAACCAGAGTTCACTTCAACCAAACTCAAACCCAAACCTGTCACGAGAGCAAATTTTTCTGCATAATGAATTATCCAAGAATTTATTGCAATATAAGATAATATTGTTGATTTGAGGCAATTTTCAAGTATTGCAGTGATAATGACATAAAAATGCAAGAAGACAATAAACTTTAAATTCTAATGAACATTTACCACTGAAAGTGGAAGACATTTTAAATATTAACAATAGATAAAACAACAGAAATAACAAATAAAATAAGTTAAAAAGTTTCTGTAAACAAAATTATCCTTAAAAAACGGCAGACTGAAGACTTTTGTCATCCAGTTTTTAGATGAGAAAATACGAAATAACAGAAAAACGATAAATCATGCAAATGAAAATTGAGTTTGTTTCCATTTATCATGTGATCAAATGCTATATTGCTTATTGTAACAGGCCTACTGAAACCCACGTTTGTAGGCAGACCAGAGTTTGCTTTTTGGTTTGACTGCACATTCTCGCCTCCCCAAACAAACCAGACTTTCTAGGCAAACGGACTGGAGTTGGATTAAAGCGAACTGGACTGGGGTGAACGATGCACCAACAGAAACCTTCTGGGTCCAGATGAGCCCACCTGAACAGGTAGAGCTGTCCGTTCTCCGGATTGCTCTCCAGGGCGACGTTGATCAGGCAGAGCGCCTCCTGCAGGTGGCCTGACAGCATCCTGATCACCGCCTGCTGCCTGTTGTCCTCGCTGGCCTCCATCAGGTGCTGCTGCATCGCTCTGGCCTCCTGGCACTCCGGGTCCAACTCCAGCGCTGACCGCACGTCTCGGAGACAACAGGCTGTCTGACGAAAGGCAGAGTCCTGAAGTTAGGGCTGAAAATATTCACATCACTGAATTAAAAACAAAAAAAGTTTAAAATCAAACCCAGTTTTCTTAATAAAATCATACAAAACATGAGAAACATTATCAAGAAATTCAGCTTTTAACTTCAACTGTAAAATACAAAGACATAAATAAGAGATGGGACTTCTTTACATTTTTTTTAAATCAAATTAAATGCAGGGTCTGTAATTAATCTAATTTTAATTGACAACTATATGTCAATAAAATGAGCAACATTTCACATTAGAAACTCCCTTTACTGCTAAATTATTGAATAGATAAACACAAAGATATTTATTATTTTTATTTCATTTTTATTTTATTTTATTATCTTTAACCTGTTATTTAGGTTACTCAACCATCAGATTGGAGCAAAATGTTACTCCATCCATTCGGCTTTCCAGGAGCTTCTTTAGAAATGTGGACTGTGGACGCTGACAGTACCGTCTGAACTGCTGCAGCATGTTTAGCACTGTGATGCTGTTTTAGCCTTGAATAGCTTCGCCGACAGGCTAACTCCTTTCAGCACAACTTGAACACAACAACAGTGTTTCCCAGCGTCCCATCAGATCGTTTTGAAGCAGAAATTAACCCCTAGCGGGCTGTGAAAAACGGCTTTCCATCGCTATTAGCATGGCTGTTAGCAGATGCTAGTTAGCGGAAGCCGCTTGTGCGTCGGATTTGCGGGTGTACCAGAAACGTACTGGAACGTGTGTATGTAGCAATTAATTATGTTATAAATGTTGACTTCTTAAAGATATGTAATTATTTAATCTAAGTCAACACACACTGACGTCCCGGTTGTAAAATAAATGTTAGTGTGTGATATTTTCCATGGTCACTGACATGTCAACAGGTTTTTATGTTTCTCTCTGTGAAGTAAAACCACCCAAAGTGTTGGAGAAATGAAGCTGGCCTCCAGATTCATGTGACTAATGATTTGGTTTCATTTGCTAATTATAGCTCCTAACCTGTTGAACCAGTTTCATCACACCTGAACTGAGCATCGGGAAAACACGACTTTATATCCACATGAAACAAAATCAAAAACTGAGCGGGAAGTAGGAAACTGTGGTGAGCTCATATCTGCCGCTCAGCTTCTGGCCAAAAATGACTGCAATTTGGTGAAAATTATTGCAAACATATCGGAAAAAGACACATTTCTGGTTGGTTACTTTGAGGTCAGAAGGTTGTGGGCTTAAATCCAGCAGTGCTTCTGACCAAGCAGGTGGGACTAAGACATTTACATTAGAAACTAGATCAAAACTACTTGGTAAAACTTTGTGTTTTTACAAGTAACCAAGTGAGACCAGAACCAGGTGAGACCTGCACTGCAAAAACACAAAATCTTACCAAGTATTTTTGTCAAGTTTATGTCGCTAATACATAGCACACTAGAAATAATTTAAAACTAACTTAGAAGTAACTTTTCAGCAACATATAGGAGCTTGTTTTAAGTCAGTAATTCCTTAATATATTTTACCTTCAACATGGAAAACATGTTTTGCTGTTAGTGAAATAATCTGATAGTGGAACTAAAACTTTTTCATTAATATTAAAAAATTATTTACTTAAAACAAGCTCCTATTTCTTGTTGAAAAATTACTTGTTAGTAACAAGTTAGTTACATCTTATTTAAATTGTACTAAGATATTTGCCCCAGAACCCAGATCAGAAATACTTGGTAGGATTTAGTGTTTTTGCAGTGCAGGTCTCACCTGGTTCCGGTCTCACCTGGTTCCGGCCTCACCTGGTTCCGGTCTCACCTGGTTCCGGTCTCACCTGGTTCCGGCCTCACCTGGTTCCGGTCTCACCTGGTTCCGGTCTCACCTGGTTCCTACTTCACCTGGTCTCACCTGGTTCCGGTCTCACCTGGTTCCGGCCTCACCTGGTTCCGGCCTCACCTGGTTCAGGTCTCACCTGGTTCCGCTCTCACCTGGTTCCTACTTCACCTGGTTCCGGTCTCACCTGGTTCCGGTCTCACCTGGTTCCTACTTCACCTGGTTCCGGTCTCACCTGGTTCCGGTCTCA